TATATATATATATATATATATATAATATATATATATATATATTATATATGTATTATGTATTGTGTATATATACATATATCGTATATGTATGTATGTATACATACATACATACATAAATACATAAACATATATATATATAATCTATATCTATCTATATATTATAAACACATATATATGTGTGTGTGTGTGTGTGTGTGTGTGTGTGTGTGTGTGTGTTGTGGTGTGCGGCTGCCGCGCGTGTGCGTGTGTGTTGTGTGTGGTGTGTGTTGTGTGTGTGTGTGTGTGTGTGTGTGTGTGGTGTGTGGTGTGTGTGTGTGCGTGCGTGCGTGCGTGCGTGTCGCGTGCGTGCGTGTGCGTGCGTGCGTGCGTGCGTGCGTGCGTATGCGTTTGTGCGTATGTGTGTGTGTATGTGTATGTGTAAATGTATATATCTACATCTATATTATATCTGTATCTGTATATATCTATCTATCCATCTATCTATTTATCTATATATACATATACATATGGTATATATTATATACATAATATATATATATATATATATATATATAATATATATGAATATATATATAATATGTTGTGTGTGTGTGTTGTGTGTGTGTGTGTGTTGTGTGTGTGTGTGTGTGTTGTGTGTGTGTGTGTGTGTGTGTGTGTGTGTTGTGTGTGTGTGTGTGAATATATATATATATATATATATATATATATATATATATATATATATATATATATATATGAATATATATATATATATTATATTTATATATATATATATATATATGTATATGAATATATATATGTATATATGTATATGTATATATATATGTATATATATATATATATATATATATATATATATATATATATATATATATATATATATATATATATAAAATCCTATGCAATGGGAAAAGGCCTACTTACCGACGTCGGAATAAGAAGAGGGAAAATCCCGAAGAGGAGCGGCGTGAGGACGAGGACGAAGGTGCGCCACTGAGGAGCCACTATTCTTAAAAAGGTCATTTTGGCGTGGTATAGACTTGAGCTTGACTGTGCTTGCTCGCGTTTTGTTTTTATTATTTAGTAATTTGTCACTTTCGTATTCCAAGAATTACATTCCGGAAACTGGTGCTCGCTCAAGATCTGGCTTCCGTTCGTTTCTGTTGTACATTGTATGACGACACTGACCATAAATGTTTCTTGTTCAGGTATTACCTGATTTGTTAGTCAAAAGTACGTGTGGATTCAGCGATCAAAAGAATCAAGAACAACAAAAATTACACCACAGATATTTGGACTCTGACGTGATGGAGAAGATTCAGTTAAGCTTAACCGTATTTATTTAGTGGTGATTTATGTGTAGTTGCGTTTGTTTATTTACGCATTATCTTGTTAAACGTCTGCAAAAAGAATTGACGCCAGACGTCAAGTAACTTGAACTCTGATTTTCGCAATTGCCTGTTATTTAAAACAATACATTGTTTAGAAAATCCACTTGCAAAATGTTTGGAATCGCAGATAAAAAAAAAACGTTAACTTAGGGTTAAAAGTCAATTTGTGAGCTTTAATGTCAGGGTCGCTTGACCTGCAGCTTCACCATCTTGCAGATATTAAGGGTACGGCCTCTCAGCAAGGACTTGCCCCTTGTCTATCAGTCCGACTCTACTCTCGATCGCGAACACGTTGCTCTTTCCAAAAGGTAATGAGTGGCTTGATTATGCCTTCCAGTTCCTCTACTATTACTCTGCCACTGTCTGCCTACGCGCCCACATCGCTCTCCTCCCTCTGTCCCATTCTAAAACCCTTTCCCCGCTCTCCCTTTACCCCCAGAACAATGCAGCTACGACCCTTTCAAAAGCAAACATTGCTTCATCCTGCTTCACCAATGCGGTGCGTCGTTGCATGAAAGCACTAGGTCTATTCGTAGAAAGAGCTTTAGGATATTGCATTGTACCTCCCTCCAGGCAGATTTCTAAATATCATATATGAGAACCCATTTATTTTCTTGAAATAATTGGAAGATAAAAATTAACAACTAAATGCTTGCTTCTCACATCAACAAGCAGAACGGCACCATTTATCATCAATATCCTCCGGGCAGGAGGCGGAGGGGGAGATTCGTGTGTTGGAGGAGTTTAACTGGCTCTGTGTAGAAGCCGAGTTCAGCGACGCAGCTGGGGACAAGAGGGCAATTGAAGGAAGAAGTGAATTCAGAGGCTGGAGGAACCTTTCGAACCTGGGACAGAGTCGAAGGCCGACAAGGGACGCCGACCTGCAGCGGGAACAAGGACTGGCAGAAGGATGGGAAGGCAATGTGTTCATTATAACGGACAGGCGTTGGTTTGAAAGGGCTAATGCGTTACGTGCCATTTAGCCCAAGGTCAAAAAGGAGAAACAAAACGTAACGGGGAGCACACATCGGACGATTCGTATGTATGTTTTCCTGTCAAGGTTTTTCCTGCTTCGTAGCCTAGCTAAACTTATTTATTTACTCCAATTATATGCTGTTCTGACAACACATATAAACATAAATCATATTCATAAACATATGTTTGTATCTGTAAGCATATGTAGCAGACGATATGTAACGTCAACAGGGAAGGAATCTCTGACTAGAGTACTTTCCTGTTCGTCCGCAGTTCCTTTCTGTCACACTGCGTGGGCGACCTTGGAATTCAATGTTTCCCGTAACTCCTGCACATCAGAAAAACCTGTGATCAGCCCTAGAGGGAACCGCAATACTCAGAGACTTTAAAATCGGACCCTCTCGTGAATCAAAATGTCTAAAGATTACTACCGTAAACGCCAAGAAAACTCAAACTCCCGGCGGTCCCTGTAGTGGCCCGGAAAGATGTTATCAAAGCCGTGCGTACTAACAGTTGCTGATGGCACTATCAGTTTTGGAACCTTTTCGTGGGTATAGGTTTATTTACTTCAGTATAAAAATTACGAGCACACTACACTTGCAGCACCTCAGAGTGTTGGTGGGTATATTCAACTCTGCTGGTGATTGCGTCGTAAGTGAATACTAGTAAAAAGCAGTCTGAAAATACTGAATGGCAGTCTCAGTTAATCATGCTCCAGTGGGAAGACATGCCCCGCCCATTTCCGTGTTATTTGTGACATTGTTCTGTCACTAGGAAAAATTGAAGTTTCGGTCTCCTTTTGTGAGGAATTGCAAACCTTGACTCTTGAGAATGGAAGGCATCCGTTAAAGTGGCAATAATATAACGGCATCACGAGGGGAGGGCAAGTGTGGCGACCTTCGCACATTAGTAGAGCAAGGCCTCGCTGTGAATGAGGTCAAGAGGTCAATGAGGCTCCCTATTTTAGATGCTAATTACTTTAAACGTCCTTTATTCTCTTTTTCTTCTTTCACTCACAATAACGAACAAAAAAAAAATTGATACATGATTCCATATCATTTATGCTTTGCTGTCCAAGTATCGTATATCGTGAATCAAAGAGACAGGACAAACAGATTCGTGTGTTATCCATTATGAAAAGCAATTGAATCATTTTAAGGAAAATACACTGCCCCTTGCTATTTTCTCATGTCCTTGAGGCGACGCGTCGGAAACTGGAAATTCAAAGCACATTTGTTTTCGAATACTAGACGGTGCTATGGGAGTGTTTTGCCATAGCATTCTATTTTGACTCTCACAATCAACGTTTCACACACTAAAGCACACCAAACTTGCAAAGCCACCTCTCAGAAATCACATAAACGAAAGAATAACGTAGCGCGTTAGAATGAAAACGTTCTGGCGGAGAGATTTCTGCGCGTCCTTCTCCTCCCACGACCAGCGTAGGACTGTCGGACTAAATTGCCGAGGCTACCTGGCCTGGGGAAGGAGGGGCGTTCGTCGCGGCGGCGGAGGGCGGGGCCAGCTGACAAACATCGCTGCGTGCTCCGTGTTTATTCTATATACACACTTATATACATATTTGAATATATAGACATATACATAGAAACACAATATATATATATATATATATATATATATATATATATATATATATATATATATATATATATATATATATTACGCAAAAGGTATATACGCATACATACACATAGTGTACATGCACACACACACATACACACATAAATACACACAACATAAACATACGCACACAAACACACGCCTATATAAAATTATGTATCTAAAATTATATATATATAATATTCATAATCATATATATAAATGTACATATACATATGTGCGTGCGCATGCGTATGTAATAGTAATGACAATGATAATGATAATAATAACAATAATAGTATTGTTAACAATAACAATAATTATAACAACAACAATGATCATTTAAGGTTTAGTATGATAGGCTCTTGTGATTTCAGTCTTATTACTTATGCTTTTAAGCTAATCCTGTGTGCAAGGAATGGCGCGGGTTACCATTCATTTGCAGTACGGGTTTCTAGCGCGGGTCATCTTGAGAGTTAGGTTAGGTTGGGCTGGTTGTTACTACGCAACAAAGACAAATATACTCTACGGGGTCATATATGTGCACGCACACACACACACACACACACACACACACACACACACACACACACACACACACACACACACACACACACACACACACACACACACCACACACACACACACATAATATTATATATATATATAATATATATATAATATATATATATATATATATATATATATGTACATATAATATAATATATATATATATATATATATATATAGTAATTATAATATTATATATATATATTATATATATATATTATTATATATAAATATTATATATATAATATATATATATATATACTTGGGAGGGCTTACAGCTAGCTTCACCCACGTCCACAGATGTCAAACTCTAGTTTATAAGACGTATTTGTCCCACAGATATCTTGATATTTTCTATATACCGGATTTATCCCATTTTCGAATAAAAAAAGCTACAGTGTATACAGCCTAGAATCATACTGTATTTAAGCAATTTTATTGCACTTCTTTTTATGGGATAAGTAACACAGCTTTTGTTATGTCTGTTATAGTTCTTTCCTCTCAGGGTCAGCAGCTACAGTATTTCTGAAACTGATTCATAGGGCAGAGTTATTTCGACTCGACCGATTTTGTGTACACACTCACAATACACACACACACAAACCCACATGCACGCACACAAACAGCAACACACACACCACACACACACACAGACAACACACACACGTACAGACAACACACAACACACACACACAATACACACATAACACACACACACACGCACACATATACACAACACACACACACATACGCACACACACACACGCGTGCGCACTTATACACAAATCACATACACTCACACACACACACATCGCCAACACAATACACGCACACACACACACGCACACACACACAACACACACAGACACACACGCACAGCACAGCAACACAATACACACCTAACACACACACACGCACACATATACACAAACACACACACACGCACACACACACACACACACACACACAACACATACACTCACACATACACACACACACACACACATACACACGCAAACACACAAAACACACATACACTCACACACACACAACGCACACACACACATGCACGCACGCGCGCGCACACAAAAAACACACACAAAACACACACACACACACACACTCATACACATACAGACAGACACACACAAAATCACACACACACACACACACACGTACACACACACTCAACACACACACACACACAAACACACGCACACACACACACACGAAAACACACACACGCACACACACACACACACATGCACACACACCACAAACACACACACGAGCGCACGGGCACACACACACACACACAAAACACACGCACACACACACACATGCACACACACACACACACACACACACACAACACACACACACACACTCAACACACGCACACACACACACAACACACACACAACACACACACACACACAC